AGAGTGCTGTTTCAGGGAGGGCTCCTCTCCCACCCTCCCCCAGAGGAGGAGACACCAGGGGCTGGTGTGGGCTGCGGGCCCTGCTTCCTGGGAGGCTTTAGCATCAGAGGGGCCCCCTCCAGTGGGGTGCCCTCCACAGCAGGAGCCTGGGGGCGGGTGGGGCAGGCTCCTCACCTCCTCGGGTGCCTGCGGTGTGAGAGCAGCGAGGACCCCCTGGCTGTGTCCGCTCACCCTCTGGAGGGCACTCCGTGCGCCTGGCTGGTGCTCACAGAACCGTTTGGTTTGTGTGTTGTTCGTAAGCCGAGGCGAGCACACTGTTTGCTCCACTGTTTGGACTGTCCCTCACCCGTTTTTAAACCAAAGCTGAAAGCTCCCCCGGCTCCCAAGCCTGTCCCTGGGGGTTGATGCTACCAGACAGGTGAGGAAGTGGAGCTTAGATAGGGCAAGTCCCTGCCGTGCTTGTGCAGTGTGTGGCGCTGGGACTCGAACCCGCGTCGGGCCCTCTTACCGTCTCTTACTCTCCTCGAAGGCTAAGGAGACAGTCACTGTGGGGCGTTTTGTCTCCCATGTGACCTGGGTCTCTACTCTCTCCCCGTCCAGCTGAGCCCAGGCACATTGGTGGCATCTGACGTGGCATCAGGCTGTAGCCCTCCCAGCAGCCTCCAGCATCGGCGGCTCCTCTGGGGCCTGTGGGCTGAGGGATCAGCTGCGGCCGGCACTGTCGGCTGCTCGAGTGGGCCTGCAGGCAGCCTCTGCCAGAGCTGGGCGTTTCTCTAGCGTCTGCCCTCCCTCCCTCAGTCCCCTCGCAGACCCTCCCGTCGGGACGGGGAGCAGCATGTGCCCGTCCGCGTGTAAGAGGACAAGGCTGCGGGCCGGGCAGTCCCAGTCACGTTCCAGCAAGCCCTGAGCTTCTCAAGGCTGCAGTTTCCTCATCTGTAAAGGGGCTGATGGCGTGCCCAGTTCCGGGGTGCACGGTGCCCACAGGCGTCTGACGTCATCTCCAGGACAGGGCCTGTCCTGGGTGCACAGTGAGAGGCAGCCCTCGTCATCGCAGGCTTTGACCCAGGCCTCCCAACTCCTGCTCCACAGTCTTCTGGTTTCTGCCTCTCCGTCCCGGGCCGTGTGGAGGGCCCTCCAAGGAAATCATGAGGGTTGAGTAGCACACAGCCAGGGTCCGTTCCCTGCACTGCAGTGTGAACAGGGGGTTCGCAGTGCAGCCAGCTCAGCCCCGCATGGCAGGCCCGGTGTGCGGGGTTTCCAACCCACAGGGGTGGGTTGGTCCCAGTGGATTGGTCCCTCTGAGCCCCGCTCCACTCACCCCGCTGAGAGTCCTGCCGAGTCGTCTGAGGCGGGAGGGCGGTGCACTGACGCCCGTGGCCCTGTCTCCCCAGATGGCCATCGTGTTCAACCAGGAGGGCCTGAGCGCCATCCAGCCACCCTGCGTGGTCCAGAACTTCATCAACCACAACGCCGTCCTGTACAAGGTGTTCGTGGTCGGCGAGTCCTACACGGTGGTCCAGAGGCCCTCGCTCAAGAACTTCTCCGCGGGCATGTCAGGTAACCAAGCCTCCCGCCTTCTCAGTTTGTCCCGAGCTCGGCCCGGCTGGACACAGCGTCGGTTGAGCACTAACCCCTGGCACCTGGGTTGTCTGGAGGGGAAGCCGTCATCTGGAGGGTGAACGAATTGTGTGCCGTAATGAAGAGATCTTGGAAAAGAAGCGAAACCCCCGTCCCATCCATTTGAACCACTGTAAACTCCGAAAAGCACCCCCACATTTTCTGTGCCCAGGTTGCTTGCTGGGGACCCTGTGCCATGAGACGCAGGAGGAACCTGCTGGAACGGATGACGGGCCCTTCAGGGGAGGGGAGGAGGGGGGGCCCCTCTTGTTTTGAGGGCCCGACCACTGACTGAATCCCGTCTCCTTTTCCAAATGGGGGAACACCACCCTTCTGGCTGCTCCTGCAGCCGCCGAGGCGGACGTGCGCCCCGTGAGAGGTCAGCACGCAGGGCCACAGGGCTCCCAGCTGGGGCCTGGGGCAGGCGGTGGGCACGACACCTCGCTGTGCCCCGCGGGTGAGGACTGAGTCAGTGACTGTGGTGGACCAGTGGGTGACGGTCCCACGTGTCCCTCGGGGGTCACAGCAATGGTGTCTACAGGCCGCTGCTGTCCTTGGGGGCAGCTGAGGAGCCCTCAGGGAGGCTGGTGGCTCCATAAGCCCAGCTTTGCCTCCGCTGCTCCCCTGCCGCCTGCTGGCCGGGCCGTTTCGCAGACTGGCACTAGGATAAGGATTTGCTTGTGTTGGGGCTGCTCCCAGGAATGTCCTGGTGGCTCTGAAGGCATCCCCCGGGCACGTTCCGGAACCTGTTGGAACGGTGGCAGCATCTGTGGAGAGTGGCTTTCCGGGAGGACGTCGGTGGCCGGCGTGGTTTGCTCAGCTCTCTGTGCAGTCGGCTCCGCGCGGGAAACTCGCCACTGGCTGGGATGCCCAGCGGCACTACCAGCTGCCCAGACAGATGGGCTCCTGAGACCTGCTGGGGCTGCCTGTCAGTCCTCCCCGGGGCGCAGGCCACTCTCCTGAGTGAAGTTCAGCCGTTCTTGTCTTCCTCTCAGCCGTCTTCCCCTTAACGCACCAGAGCAGACACTTTGGATTGTCTTCCCGAGTGCAGGCGGCCTCCCAGCCAGGCCTGGGCTCCAGGACTTGAGGCCCGTGTGAGGTTCAGGACACCCCCGTCCTCACCCTGGTCCCAGCCCCCACCCACTGGGATGGGATGACCTGGGGGTGGAGGACAGATGTCGGCAGGGGTCCTTTGGTGTGTGACTGTACACCTGCAAGGGGCCTCCTTTTTATAATATATATAACATTTTTATTGATTTCAGAGAGGAAGAGAGAGAAACATCAATGATGAGAGAGAATCATTGATTAGCTGTCTCCTGCATCGCCCCACACTAGGGATCAAGCCCACAACCTGGGCATGTGCCCTGACTGGGAATCGAACCCTGACCTCTTGGTTCATGGGTCGATGCTCAACCACTGAGCCACACCAACCAGGTGCAAGAGGCATTCTTATCAATTGTGGGCCAAAAGGGGCTGACGTTTTTTTTAAATCCCTGGCTTAAGGGGTTTTTTTTAATCCACATTTCAAAAAAATATGTGCTTCAAATCTTTGGAAAAGTATTAGATTAAGAGTAGCCATACCTTAGGTTGTCTCCTTTCTTTTTTCTTTCTTTAACACAATCGCCCCGTTTCTTAAAGAAGCGCACCACAGTTTCCTTCCTTTCCACACAGAAGTGCCCCCTTTCTCTCCTGGTTGGGAAGCGCTGGTCCATGTCAGGAGGGCGTGGGCTCCACATCTGTGCCTTCCTGTGGCCGGTTCCAGGTTGCCAGTTTGCCATAAAATGCGGACCGGGGCCGAGTGAATGAGCAAATAACACACCGAGCCGGTGGAGAAATGCTACTGGGTCTGCCCACCACCTACCCCCAGGGCCGAGTCCCTGTCGCTGTCTCCGGCACCGCCCAGGGAGCTGGCGTGGGCTTTGTTCTTTTCGCACACGTGTTCTCCACCTGACAGCGGCCCTTGGACTGATTGACAGGGGGCCTTGGGCTCTTTCCCACCCCACCCCCTTCTGGTTCCCGTCACCCAGTGTGGCGCCCCGGCTTCCCCTGTGGCGTGGGGAGCTGGGGGCAACCTGAGCAGGCTTCTCCGGGACATGGGGCGGAGGGGACGCTGTCCTGCCCCCACGGCTGCGTGCTCTTCGGCTTCTCGGGTGCACTTCAGGTTTTACGTTTTAATGTCTCTGAAGTCAAGGGTGTCCCACAGCCAGTGGCGCCTGGCAAGTCGCGTCGACTGAAACTGAAGTCAGGTTCTTGCGCAGGTGGCGTTGGCCTGTACCAGCCACCAGGAGCGCTTCTGTTCTCTGCCTGTGGGTCACCTTCTGGGGAGACTGCTCCCTGCCTCCACCCCTGCCAGGGTCAGAAAGGGCACTTCCTCTGCGGACACAGCGCCTTGACATGCTTTCCATCCGGGGCCTTGTTCGCTTGGGAATACAGACAGGAATGATACACTTTCCCATTGAGAGGGTCAGCGGGCGTTTTTCTGCAAAAGGCCAGATAGTAAATATTTCCAGCTCTATCATGGTTATGTAACGCTGCCACTGTAGCGTGGACGCACTGCAGGCACTATGTAAATGAATGGGCACGCTGTGTTCCAATAAAACTTTATTTACAGATGTGGTTTGCTGGTCTCTCACCTAGAGCCTCTGAGGGATCCAGCAGTCAGCCACACGTCTTGCCCTCCCGGACTTGTGTTTTCCTGCACACGAGGAAAGAAATAATAAAAGGGTTCATTAAGGCACCAGATAAGTGGGTCCCGGGACACCACTGGGTGAAGGGAGCCACTTGGACAGGGCGGTCAGGGCGGGCCCCCCTGCAGAGGTGACCAGTGTATGGGAACCTGAACAAGACCTGGGTCACCATCCACAGCTCTGTGACACCACCCTCCCCCCGCCCCCGAGGGAGACATGAAGATTCAGCACGGGGCTGAAGGAAGTGTGGCGTAGCTCATGGCTGCACCACTGGTTACAGGCTATTTCGGGCTAATCTTGTCATTTACTCTCCTTATTTTGAATCTGCTGTTCTCATCTGTAAATTGGGGGCAGAAGCACCCATATTTCTCTCATTGCCCTCCCTCCCCTGCTGGGAGGTGGTGATAGCCCTTCACCAGGAACAGTCGGGGAGCAGAGAGTGGATGGGCCCCCACATCCAGGGTGTTCCTGCCATCAGAGGGCCAGGGCCTGACCAGGGCCATTTTAGAGGAACTGGGTATCTTTTTTTTTAAGGAAATGAGCTCAGTGGGGCTGGGCCAGGCTGGGTGCAGGCGAGAAGGTGGGCAATGCCTGCCGAAGGCCGGAGTGCCCGTCCCAGCAGCTCCAGCCCTGGTCTGGCGTCTGGCCCGGGGGCTTCTACCCCCACGGCTCACTCTTGCTGTCGGTGCCTGCAGAAGGCTGGAGAGCCCTGCTCCGGCCTCTGGCCCGGGGGCACTCGGTCCCCATGGCTCACTCTTGCTGCCGATGCCTGCAGAAGGCTGGAGAGCCCTGCTCCGGCCTCTGGCCCGGGGGCACTCGGTCCCCATGGCTCACTCTTGCTGTCGGTGCTTAGGAGTTGAGGTCGGTGAGCTGCTTGGCACGAGTCCTGCCAGGTGTTTATTTTCCCCAGGCTCCTCCCCAGGACCATCTCTCATGCCCCCGGTCTGGACCGGCTCTGATTGGAGCGACGGGAGGACTGTCGGGCACTCCTGGGCGGCAGGGGGCCTGTGTGCCTCGCTGGCAGGAAGCACGCCAGGTACATCTCAGCGCCTGCCTGCTTGGCCTCCGCCCACATCCTTCCTCGTGCATGATCATGGCATCGCCGTAGTCCTGGTGGGGCTGTTGGCAGCCAGAGCAGGTGCCCCTCGGCCTGGGCCCTGGCACACGATGGTGCTCAGCCTTTCTGTCCTGCGTTCAGGGGCCGCATGGAGGCTTGGGGGCCGTGTCATGCCTGGGGGTTCATGGGGGGTGACAGGCAGCCTTTTCCAGGACCTGGCCCCAGGCTCGTGTTTGCGATGCTTACATTCGGTGCCCACTCTCCCAAGTGCTTGAGAACATTTTCTGCCTGGCCGACGACCTTCGTTTCCTCTCCCAGGGGTGAACACACAAACCGGCCTTGTCGCTCCCATTATTCTGGGGATCGGCCTGCCTGTCTGGGTGCCCAATGGGATTGAGTGACATGGGGTGCAGTGAAGGTGGGCGTGGGTCGGGGGAACGGGGTGGAAGGAGGTGGAGGGCATTCAGGGGGCCATGCCAGCTTCCAGAGCCAGGCAGGCGGTTCTGTGTGCCTTCTTGGATGTTACCTACAGACGCCCATGTTCTGATTTCCTACTTTTCCCCTAAATAGTGGGGGAACAGCAGAACCCTTTGTTTTCAGCATTCACATGCCAAGTGCAGCCTCACTGCTTCTCCGGTGATCCCGGGAAAGGAGGCCAAGGGCAGACACCGGGAGGGCCGGGGAGGCTGGGCGAAGTGGCATTCCCTACCGCTTCATCCCGGCCTGTGATAGTCGGGTGTGCGGCATTTCCTGTCCACATAGCCACAGACCCGGCTTTCTGATGCCGGGTCCACGGGACACGGTGTGGGGATGGGGCCTTCGGGTGTTGGAGAGAACCAGCCCTTACCCTGGTGGGCTCACTCAGTCATTTTTCTATGGGAAGGAAATTTGAAACAGGAGCCCTGAGCGGGCATGTGTCCGTCCGTGGCGCAGTGTCTCCTTGGGGTGGGGGTGCCCGGCTCACTGGGGCCTCAGATGGCAGCTGCTGGACACTGAACCTGAAGGCCCATGCGGCCACCGTCACTTGTGGCCGGGGCGGTGCTGCCCCCTGGTGTTGGGCGGTGGTGTTGCCATCCCCTCTTTAAGCTGCTAACCGGCTTCTCCGTGTGTTCGCTTTTTCAGACCGCAAGTCCATCTTCTTCAACAGCCACAACGTGTCCAAGCCGGAGTCGTCATCGGTCCTGACGGAGGTATGTCCCTGCCGCCCTGGTGGCTGGTGTGAGCCTGGGGCGGGTGTGCTCCTGGCTGCGGGGCCCAGGGTCGAGCTCTCCCGTGGGCAGGGTCGGAGGGGCCTTCCCTAGAGGCCTCTGGCCTGCTTGCCCCGGGCCTTCGTGCTGATGACCTGCATGCCCAGGCCCGCTCACCACCAGGTCAGGCCTGGGAGGTTTTCCAGCTCTTCCCCCTGCATGGGGAGCTCCCCAGTAGGAGGAGCTTGAGACCCTGCTTTTTACTGATTTAAAGACGGGGTGAGAGGCCAAGCCATCTCCTTTCTTTCCTTGTCTGTGTGTGTCCCGGGAGTGTTAAGAGCCCGCTGTCACTTCTGTGCTGCTGGGCTGCTTCTCGGTGGGTGGTGAGCTCAGGCTGCTGGTCAGTGTTGCTGTGTGTCAGGCTCCCTCCTGGATGCCCTGGGGCAGGGTATCTAGGCCCGGGGCAGGGCGGGCAGGGCGGGCAGGGCAGCTCCGCTTTCCGAGGGGGGCTGTGCTCGCAGGCTGGTGGCTTCTCCGAGCTCCCAGGGCAGAGCTAGGACTTGACCCCAGGCCCATCTAGTTCCAGAGCTGGTCCCCCAGGAATCGAGGACTTGTTATCTCACTGGGGACCCTCTGCTGGGAGCCCCTGCTGGGTCTCCTGCTCCCCGACTCGGCCGTCCTCCTGTTCTGGGAGGATTTGCCCTGTCCCCTTCCCTGTCCTCTGGCCTCACCAACGAGCTCCTGAGAGACCCTGCCTCGGACCCCACTCCCTCTGTTCCACGTCAGGGCCTGTGCTTGCCCTGCCACCTCCTCCCCGGCCCGGCCACCTGTCCGTCTCTGGTTTCCGGTTCCCTGAGGAGCCAGCTGTGTGCTGGGGGTGGGCCGCCCACAGGTGTGGACAGGGCCTGGAGGGAACCCAGCGCCCTTCAGAATGGTGAGGGGCGTTTCTCAGTCAGGGAAGCTCCGGGACTGGCTGTGTGCCTGGCTGTGTGCATTAGGAGATGGAAATAAACTGCACAAGAAAGGATTTAAAAGTGGGGGTGGCTGTCTGGTCTCCTAAGCTTCAGACACGTTAGGCGAGCCCAGTTCCCCGCGAAGCTGTCAGGCATTGCTCGGGCTGGCAGAGGGAAGCCGGCATTACACAGGCTTCCGCGGACACTGTCCCTACACCGTGCATGGGCCTATTGGCCGCAGGGCTGTAGCTGATGCCAGGGCCCTACGCAGAGTGACCCACCCCAAGTGACCTTGGACTATCCCGTCTCCCACTCCCCTGTCTCTGTCTGTGAAGGGGAGGGGCCGCCCAGGGCACTTCTGGGGCCGCCTCTGGCCCTGTAGGGTCTGCGTTGTCTCCTCTGCCCCCCCGCCCCCCTTCCCCAGCTCATGGCTGCTGTTCGGGAACTCCTGGAACTGAAGGGAAATGCAGTCAGCTGTCCTCTTTCCATTTAGGACGCAAGCCTCTCCTCACACCTGCAGGCTGGCCGGGACCGACAGCTGCACCCCAGACACGCCCCACCCTCCTCCTGCCCACCCGGGGCCCCATCCCCTTCACTGTCCCCTGCAGGGAGCCCTGCCTGGCCTTGAAGCCTGTCCATTCACGGCTGATGCCCCCGCTCCCACACCCAACGAGCAGACCCCAAACGCCAGGATAGGGTATCGGTCACGAGTGTGGACACTGACTAGGCTGCCTGGGGTCAGACCCAGCTCCACAACATCCCAGCTGTGTGGCCTCAGGAGAGTCACTGGGCCTCTCTGAGCCTCGGTTTCTCCCTCCTGCCCCGCAGGGTGGTGGTGGGATTCAGGCACTCCTAGGGCAGTGCCAGGTGGGCAGGAAGTGCCAGCAGAGCAGCTGTGATGGCGGTCCACATGCACACGGCTCCCTCCCCCCTGTCACTGCCTCACTGTCCAGAGCATCATCGTCTCCTTTCTGTTTGTGCCACGGGCAGGACTTCCATGCCTTTATCTCGTCTAGGCGGCTCTTTGGGCTCAGATACTGAAGGGCTCCGGGCGGTTTCTGAGATTCCTTGCTGAGCTGAGAAAGGCTTGTACAAACAGCGTGTCATGAGACTTCGTGCTGATGCAGCAGCCAGGGCTGTCTCTGCCAGGCCTGCGCTGTGAGCCTTGGACATTAGCTTCTTGGACCCTCACCACTGTCCCACAGCGAGGGTGTCTGTGCACCCACTGACCGGGTGAGAAAACAAGACCCAGAGGGCCCTGAGGCTCAGCACGCAGCGGGCAGGACCAGGGGCGAGCTCCCGCGCGGCTGAGTGCCAGGAGGCGGCGGGGGCTCAGTGGTGAGTGCCCGTCACAGCCCCTTGGAAAGTGTTTCCCCCATAAGATGCCAAGACAGAGGTCTGGGCATGAGGGGCCCTGCCTTTCGTGCAGAGGCGGGGGCGGGGGCGCTCACCTAGGAGCACAGGCGCTGCCCACGTGAGGGGCCCCTGCTCGCACGGGTCAGAAGTTCCCGCTCACCATGCAGCTTCCTGTGCTGGGACGGGGCCCTTTGTCCTTGGTGCCCAGGGCTGTCCCCAGCCGTCCGGACCCAGCCTCACTTCTTTAAAGTGAACAAGTCAGTGGCTTGGAGTACCTTCACCTGCAAAGGAAGCCCCGTGCCCATTGGCAGTCCCTCCCCCCCCCCTCAGCCCTGGCAACCGCTCATCTGCTGTTGTCTCTGCGGATCTAGCTCTCCTGGGCCCTTCAGGTTCGGGGAGTCCTGCAGCACGTGGCCTGCTGGGCCTGGCTTCCTCACTCAGCCTCGTTTCCCAGGCCATCCGCGCTGCAGCACGTGGCTGAGGACACTCCGTGTGTGGGTGACACAGTCTGTTCACCATCCGCTGAGGGACGTTTTGGCTTGTGGATCATGCCGCTATGAGCATCGGCACGCAGATTCCCACTTTCCGTCTTCTGGGTACACACCTAGGAGTGGAATTTCTGGGCCATAGGCAATGTGACCCAGCTTCACTTTTATTTCTGATGGGTCAGTGCCCCTTTGGCCCCTGAGCGCACAGTCCTGGGACTCCAGCAAGTGGGGCACCTCCCAGGAGGTGACACACAGAGGTGACACGGCGCTGTCCCCCTCCCGCAGGCATGTGCTGTCCCTGCCACATAGCTCCTCATGGTCCCCCCAGTAGTCGGGGTGGGAGCCTCATTGGTCCTGTTTCGCAGATGAGCCACGGCATCTGATTCTCAGTCAGGGCACATGCCCAGGTTATGGGCTCGATCCCCGGTGGGTGGAGGGTGTGCAGAAAGCAGCTAATCGATGTTTCTCTCTTGTCAATGTTTCTATCTCTCTATCCTTCTCCCTTCTTCTCTCTAAAATCAGTAAAAACATTTTTTAAAGGACTTTAGAAATAGCCAATCCTGGTGCTGGTCTGTCCTACCCCCTTGTCTGAAGGTCTCTGTGGGGTGTGGCTTTGCGCCTCCCCACTTACAGCCTGACTCCTGTGTGTGTGTGTGTGTGTGTGTGTGTCTGTGTGTGTGTGGTGTGTGTGTCTGGTGTGTGGTGTGTTGGCAGCTGGACAAGATCGAGGGCGTGTTCGAGCGGCCTAGTGACGAGGTCATCCGGCAGCTCTCCCGGGCCCTGCGGCAGGCACTGGGCGTGTCTCTCTTCGGGATCGACATCATCATCAACAACCAGACAGGGCAGCACGCTGTCATCGACATCAATGCCTTCCCAGGTGAGCGGCAGGGGCTGTGTCCTCGGGCAGGTGACAGGGCAGCTCCGTCCTCTCGGTGGAGCCTGGAGTAAGTGCAGCCCCCACTGGGCCTCAGCCCTCCTGCCGATGGGGCTGCAGGCTGTGGGGAGAGCGAAGGTCGGGTCCGGACATCCAGCCAGGGTGCATGGTGGGCAAACGCGTGTTCTCTCGCCTCCTCTCCTGACCCTGCGCCTTCAGCATTAGCCGCTATTGGCCAAACCTTAGCTGGTCCCTGGGTCCCGTGGAGATGTGAAGAGCTGAAGGGACGCTGGAGGGATTATCCCCACAGGTTTCCGTGGGCACTGAGCCGCCCAGAGAGGAGGAGTTGTCCCAGGTCATGCCTAGGTTGGTGCAGGGCTGTGCTCCTCACCCTTCCCAGAGCCGCGGTGCTCCCTGTGGCTGGCACGTGCTCCCTGCTGTCTGCTGGAGCCCCGAGCAGGGGAGCACATGCTGGGCCCTCGTGGTCTCGCCTCAGCGAGGGGCTCAGTGGGAGATACCACCACTGTTTGGGGGGCGTTTGCAGGGTGCAAGGAAGCCCTCACGCACAGGGAGGGCACACAGCGCATCAGGCCGTGGGGGAGAGGGCTGCGTGCTGGGCTCCAGGAAGTAGTAACAGTGGGTGGCATCAATACCCACCACACCAGGCAGCCCTGGGAGCTTTGCCAGTTTACCGATGGTGACGTGGAGGCTGGGGGCTGGATGGCTTGTCCAAAGTCACCGCTACCCACTGGTAGAGCCGGAATGGGCCTCGCTCCTGACCACAGGCGCCCTGCCTCTCGCTCCGGCTGCCTCCATCCCGGCTCTGCCTGCCGTCTGATGGGGCAGCGCCCAGCGGGGCAGTCTCGGTGCTCACTCTGCACCAGGGCGTTCCCACCTCGCAGAGACGGAGGAGCCTGGCCTGAGCTGGTGCCCCCGGCTGGTTCACCTCTCAGTTGCAGAGCTGTGGGCCCAGAGCGGCCTGCACGGCCTCCTGGCCACCCTCAGGCCTCCGTCCCTCACCAGGAAGTACACACCCGCCCGGGGCCTCCAGGCCTCACCAGGGGACAGCAGAGCGGTTGCTGAGGGAACGGCTTGTTCCCTGGTGCCTCCTGACGTGACTCCAGCCCCTCCCACACTGTGTCTCTCCCCTAGAAACCTGAGCACGCCTGCTGGTGGCTCCCAAGGGGCCTGGGCCGCCTGCCCTTCTCCCCCAGCCCAAGGCTGAAAGAAGCCCGTCCTGGGTGGGGTGCCAGCACCACATGGGATTCAAGGTGGGGCCAAAGGACCTGCCCCAGACCCCGGCTCTGTCACTTGGAGGCCGTGCTCTGTGAGCCAGGATGCACCCAGCGGGGCCGCCATCACCACCTCCACCCTCGTGTATAGTCCCGTGTCCACCTGGGCGGCTCTTTGTGCCTCTGGGGCCAATCACGTGACTCTAACTCATCTGCGACACGGGGCGGAGAGCTGTGAAGATCAGGCGAGGGGACGTGTGTCCATGGAGGCACTGTGTGTGCCAGCTACTTCACCCATTTTACTTTCCCTGTGGGCACAGACACGAGTGAGCAAATGAGGCAGCCCCGCCCTGCAGCACCAGGCAGGCCTTTCTCTAAAGTTCATGCGCCTTGCCCTTCCTGAACCTTCGTGCGCACCGTGGTGGTGGGCGCATAGTGCGTGGGGCGGTGTGGGCAGTGCCAGGCCCCTCTGAAGCGGGCACACTGGCCTTCAGGGACACGCTTCATGTCCTCACCCTCGTTCTTGCAGCCCTTTGCCTGGTTCTTGTCCTGCCAAATTGGCTTAGGAAGGTGGGGGCACCCACCCCAGGTGGCATGTCTCTTGAAGTAGTTTTGGGGAGTCAGCAAAATCCTCGCCCTAGATTCTCATTCTGCTCGGCTCCCAAGGACGCCTGTGCTGACAAGTGCATTCGCTTCTGCGGTGGGAACTGCAGGCCCAGCAGTTTCTGTTCAGGACCCTGGGCCGCACTTGGTTAGGGAAGCCGCTGCCAGTGTGTGGCCTCACGGGGGTGCTCCGTCTGCCCCCTGGCTGTGATGCTCAGAGCAGGGGCACAGGCAGTACCCCGCAGGCATTTTGGGGGTGAGGACTCAATTTTGGGAGCAGCTGCTATGGATCAGGCATCGCCCACTTTCCAGCCCCCTCGGTCGTGCCCACAGGAATCTCCCCGAGTTCTCAGCTCGCACAGGAGGAAGCTGAGGCCGGCCTCGGCGGGAAGGGGAGTTAGTGATTCAGAACGGGAGGAGGAGTAGGCCTTTGGTCCTCCGGGCAGGTGGCCTCCGGCCAGGCCACCTGATGAAGGAGCCTGTGAAGCGGTGCCCGAGAGGGACAGGGTGGGGAGTGTTTTCTCATCGGCTTCTCACACGGGGGCAGCACATTCAGGGACCAGCCCTGTGGAGCCACGCGCACAGCTTTGAGTCCGGCTGTGTAGCGTCCATCAGCCTTATCCTTGTGCCTTCCCTCCCCGCGGGCCGCAGCCGCCTCCAGCTCCAGCTGGCTGAGCCTGTGCTGTCTGTCTCTCCCACCCCAGGCTACGAGGGCGTGAGCGAGTTCTTCACAGACCTCCTGAACCACATCGCCACCATCCTGCAGGGCCAGAGCGCAGCCGCCGCAGCCGCAGGGGACACGGCCCCGCTG